CGGGCACGATAAAAAAAAAGAAAATAAGATTGAGAGGCACTTGTTCGGGATTTGTTCCATGAGGCAGGCCTGCCAAAGGATCAATTGCACTGTGCGTAGTGCATGTCCGAGCACGAAGACGCGGGAGCTGACCTTGGGGGGATGCGTTATTGCATCACGATGCTTCATAGAGCGATGCCTTTTGGCGCAGACGCGATTAAAGGACCAGTGGCCGCAGTCGCAGCAAACAGCGCTGGGAAAAAAGGTGGTCAAATTTTCGTTGGCATGTACAGGATGGCTTTCAATGTAGTGCGCCATCAGCGGATCGCCCTTGCGCATTGAGCACACACATCCTGGCGCAGGACAGTCAATCCAGTTCAGAGAAGGAAAGCACTCGGAAGGGCGGCGGAGATCGGGTGGAGTGGAATGGTGCGTTTGAACATGGCGTTGCTCATTGGAATCCGAGACAAGCATGTTGCAGATTGCACAAGACACCGGAGAAGGAGTCGCCATAATGGCTGCACGCAAAGAAAAGAAAGGCAAGGTGAGATGGTTCACGCATCAATAAATGGCAGCGCATGCGAGGAATGAGGAAGGGTGGGGACTCACCGTTGAGGAGAAGGAAAATGCAACGGAAATTGTAACGGAAGAACGAATCTCAACGGTAAAACCATAAGGGATGACACTTGGTACGTGACCGAAGTTGTCTCGATGAACAGGTGAAAAAGTGTCTCCGTCTGTGACTCGTTTTGCTGACAATAGATCACAACAACCAAATGTAATGTCAGAATTTATATCTTGGCCGTTGGCGCGCCACCGCCTTTTTTTCCCGCCTAACGCCTTAATAACCCCTTGTGCTGCTTGTGTTGGTTTGTTGTGGCTGACGGCCGAACGGTTATTTTTGAACCTGTGGTGGAACCTCTTGCTGGCTTGAGAGGGCGTTTGATTGAAGCCTGTTTTCGGTGGCAACGGCTTGTGTTGGACTGGGTGCTGGCAAGGTCTGGGGTAAGGGAGGGTGTTCAAGGGATACCACCGGCTGGTAGCCCTGGCGTGCAGCAGTGTCACGAAGTGGGAGACGCGATTCTCGTAAGGCGGGCACAAGTGGGCACGGACTGGCCCACGTCCACACACATTTCAACTTGGCGCACGAGTCGCGCCAGATCATGGATACTGAGGCAACCGTCTAGCTCTCGACGAGAAGTGAAAGTCATTACTACTTCTACTTGGAAGCAGGGCCCTGGTTGCTCGGCCCAAGCTTGCTGACGCCATGTCGACACTGACAGATATCGTGGCCGAGGGTCACCGGCAATCGGAGCACAAGCTGTGCAGGAGCATTGAAGCGATCATTGCCAAGTACAGCCATGAGTTTCCCGATAGCGATGTCGTTGATCTTGAGGCGATGGTAATTTGCGAGGATCGAGGTATGACAATGCGCCCGTGGCTGCTTCCATGCGCCCCCCGGGTCCGACTCATGCACCCTGGTTTATCATTGCTTGTACGTTGCAGGCGAACTCAAGTCAGGGAACGCTCACCTCTTTGGAACAATGCATGCGGCTCCCACCGTCGATACGCGAGGTAAAGAAAGGCATGCCCGCCTGCTCACACACTCAGCACACATTCTTTAGGCTCTCTTGCGCACATCCGTGCGTGCTCGTACACGCTCGTTGCTTTCCGCCCAAAGCACCTTAGTATACCTTGCTTTGACGTGCTGGTTGATGTAGTCCTGGACTGCCTCATGGATGCCGTCGCGGGGTCGGACTCGGATGAGTCATGTGTCGAGGAAGAAGATGACGGGAAACCCGAACCACAACGCGCGAAGAAGCGAGTAAGTTTAATCAGGGCGCCTCTGAATCAACCTATGGTAGCACCTACTTTTTGTGCGTGCCAGATGCCTTGGACGCACCGCATCCCTGCGAGTTTTGTTGGCCTTCTCTGGCTGTTCTGCTGTCTCTGCTCCACCCCCCTCTGTTCCTCTTTTCTACCAAGGACGGCTCGTTTTCACCTTCTCTCCCCCTTTCTTTCCTGGCTCACAGGCAAAACGATTGCGCCCACCTGGCCAAGTGTTTGAAGATGTTCAGTGTACTGAGACGGTTTGTGCACAACTATTCGCGCAAGCAGCTTTTTATATTTTTGTGTGTATTCGTGGCTTCTCATCATTGAACCGCTTCTGCTCACGGATGTGAGCAGTCGGCAGCTGAAACAGAAATCGAATCCGTGGACCGCGTACGGGAGCAGCGTCGGCGTGCTGCTCGTGTTGCTTCACAGGCAGCACGGCGTGGAAACGTATCCGCGAGCAGAATGTCTACTTCCATGAGTGTGGGTGCGAGGGCAGCCGCCCAAGCACCCCTGTCGTCCCGCATATCGCGCGATACCAATTTGGTGCTTGAGGATTCTGACTGTGAATCGGCGATTGAGCATGCCGAAGTATAGTCATCAGAGGAAACTTGAAATCAGACCCATCATTTCACCTGCCAACCGACTGTTCGTTTTTCCAATTCACCCAACTCTGTGTTTTTCATGTCATCAAGTCAGCCATACCAACCTGCGTTTCGTGGATGGCCGGACACTATTCGAAATCACGACCATCAAGAGGTGCAACGCATGATACAATTTTTTTTGCAGATGCTCGAGCGAGCAAGTGTATGAATATTCAAGTCGATTTATTGTGTTCAAGCGAAGTGGGCCCGTGCGCGCGAGAGAACAATGTGCGAGTGGCCGTTGTCGCTTTGGTCTGGAGTCAGAAGCGGCTGAGCTTGACCGTGAGGCGGCTCAAGTTGACGCAAACTTTGGGAGAACAAAGTTTTCCAAGGCGCGCTTGTAGTCATCAAAGTAGCGGCGCATGTGCTGTGCGGGGACAAGGAGTGAAAATGTCAAGTATTGGCGAGCAGCCATTCACGAGTCCTAGCGTCCAGGGAAGCCTCGAGTTGCATGACTCTGTGAGGACAGGCAAAAGCCGCGTGCTTACCATGACATGTTCAGAGTCGTCAAAGATACAACGGGTTACATCATGTCCTTGGCTTTCCCAGCCAGTCATGACTTGCTCGATGCGATCAGCGTCAGTGATGGGATCGAAATGACTGAAGATGACCAGCTGCGGCAGAGCCAATGGATTTTGCTATCCATTCCAGCAAAATGTGAGGGCCGACTGCTCACGTGCTGAAACACGCATGCCAAAGCACGGATAGAAAGAGAATCAAGCAGCCAAAGCCAGCTTGGTGTGCAAGTGTCGAGTGGGATACCTTAAACGTGGTGGAGGACTGGTGATACAGACGAAGTGCAGGTCGGTTGAGCGCTAGGACGCCTTGCAACAAGGCGGTCATCAAGGCCACGGCGGCTGGATTGGTGAATGAGGCACTGCTCATTCCATAAGGAATACCTTCGATATCCACCGGGCTGTCCAAGACCTGTTTGGGCAGGCAAGAGGTGCGGGCCCAAGCCACCACTTGAGCGTAGGTATGTTCGACAAGAGGGGCAGTGCGCGCAAAGAATCGGACATCCAAGAGTTCAATCCAAAGACAAGCGTAACTGGCGAGACTCAACGCACGACGCCTCGCAGGTTCTCTTGGGCCTTTTGAATCATATCGTTGTCCTTCAAGTGCATTTGGGTACAGCCCCAGATGAAGCCACCCACAGAGAATCCATGAATCAAGATGGGACGGCCTTGGGCCATGGGTCCAGTGATGAGCTCAGCGACGGCCGCAGCAGCTGCACGCGACTAGCAGCCAGATCAGAAAATAAGGGGTGAGGCGCAGGGAGGAAGAGAGTGTAGGTGAGTGAGTGAGTGAGTGAGAGAGCGCGCGAGAAGAAAAAGAAGAAGAAGATGAAGATCAACAAGCGGTCTTGAGCAGAGACAAGATCGACAGTCTCGTTGCAGGTAGAGCACTTTTGATTGCCTTTATTAAATTTTTCCTGGGGCATGTCGACACGTACGTGGCTGGGGAGCAAGACGTGGTTCGGGCGAGGTAGCATCGTAATCACGTCCATGCCCAAAGGATTATAAAGGAGATCCGTGTAGCGCTTGAGATGTTTCTAGAGGGAGCAAGAGAGTTGTTGTAAGCAGAGCGCCTGACTTTGTTCGGGTGTGAGCGGCACGTGATCGGGTGGTGATGGAAAAGAATCGGCTCGTTTGATCTTGCAGCTCAGCAATGTGTCGAGAAGAAGCAGGCGCATTTAGAGACTTCAGAATGCCTCCTTTTGAAGATGGATAATGGGGACGGGGTTGAAAGATCATGGGGGTCGTGGGTCGTGGACTGTACCTGGCGCGAGTTGAGCCAGCCAATCATCAGGACCAAGGGGCGGCCGTCATTGGCTGCAAGATCCTGCTCGGCGTGGTAGGTAAAGCTTTGTCCGTGACGCCGGTCAATGTCCAACAGCAGATCTCGAGACTCCTGCGTGCTCAAGGGAGCGCGCTGAAGCCAGCCGCGCCCCGCCGCCAGTCGCGGCCTCGCCATGCGCATCAACATCATGATTTCCGATCAGTGTTGGAAACAAATCACACTCAACATGTTCTCCCCAAACACCAACATAAACCCCGGTACAGTAGACCATTACTATTACCTTGCATGCTGAAAACATCTACTAAAAGTCGGATAAACGCTGCATGACCCATATTGTTACAAAATAGGAGGGAGTATTTTCAGAGGGCGAATGCAGTGAGAGGTGGCCAAGGTACATCAAGTGTAACGGCGTTGCAGCCGTTACGTTACTCTTCCAACAGTGAAAACCGTTCTCCGTGTGTGTGTGTGTGTGTGTGTGTGTGTGTGTGTGTGTGTGTGTGTGTGTGTGTGTGTGTGTATTTCCTTTGCACTGGCTGTGTACGTGGCTTGGTCGGGTCGGACGGGACAGCAGCGGGGGCGGGGGCGGGGATGGGGTATACGAAAGAATGTTAGGGGCACGAGCCGGTGGGGCTTGAAGCAGGAATGTTTGATGGGCTGGGGGGGTCTGGTTTGAAAATGCATTTAGAGCGGTTTGCTAATCTCGGACCTGGATTTGCACGCGTAGTAGACTCTTCTTGTGCCCGGCCACCGCGCAGCTCCAACAAGATGGAGGCGCATAGCGTAGTCGAGGTCAGAGCTCGCGTGGCTTGATGCTTGTGCGCACGTTCTTGTGCGTGATTGTGTGCATCCTGATCACCAAACGTGTGGCTCTTAGCCGACAGCCATGCGCTCTGCAACGGAATTTCTGAAGAAGCATAGCCCGAGGGCAGACGATGTGAGAAGCCGATACAGCCGTTCAACGGCGAAGCATCTGACCGATCACATGAATGCACCTTGCAAAGCGCACCCTCCCCTTCTTACTTGTTTCCCTGTCTCTGCTCAGCAGTCATCCCTGACGCGTGACAGCAGTGGCCCGCGCAAGCACTTACAAAGCATTCAGCCTACCAGCCAAGTTTGTTGTGTGCCGTTGCACCGGCCTGGATCTGAGGCCAGGCGTAAACGGTGCTTCTCATCACTGTCTCCTATCGGCTCTGATTTTGACAACCTAGCCAACTCCGGGTGGAACCAAGAGTGCCGTCTGCCATTCCACTGTCCCCGGATCCTCTTCGGGCTCTTCTGCTGCTCAGCAAGGTGTGCCGGCCCCTTGCATCCGTTTGAACAATATTGAAAGCGCATGCGGTACATACAACCACTAAAGAAATAAAACCATGCGTGCATCATTTTGATTAGCTTCATCGCTGGTCAGCGAACTTACACGCGAAGCCACGCCGCTTGAGGAGGCCGTCGACATTATCGAGTCGCTGCAGGAGCTCGTCGCTCAGCTCAGCCGTGAGCTGGCCGAGGTGCGGTGTGGCTTGATCATGCTTGGTCTCGAAGCTGGGTTGCTCTCATGTCATCATCGTCGCGCACAGCTGCATGAACAGGATCTTCAGCGCGACCGCGCAGCTCGTACACACCGTGCCGAGGAGGCGGCCAGTGATGCTGTCTATGACAGCCTTATGTCTCGGGTTGGTCTCTCAGTCTGCTCCACATGATACCCATCCTTCCAATATCCGCATCCTTGTTGCCTTTGTCATCCATTCTGCGCTTTCTCCTCAATCATTGACTCGCCCAACAAGGCAGCAGTATATTATGCTTGCCCATGGCTTTCTCGTCTGGTCTAAATCTTGCTTGTTTTTGCTACCACTAGCTACAGCAGGAGGGAGCGACGGCTACGTCCGAGGCTGCCCTGCCAGAACTCCCCCAAATGCCCGAATCATTATCTACCACGTCGCCCGAGTTTAACGAGTCTAGGATTGAGGATCTTACGAAGGAAAATGAACACCTACGAGCTAAGGTGCGACCTTTCCGCTTGGTGCTAGTGGTGTCAGACGAGTTTCAAACCATTATCAAGCGAAAGGGATTTCCCTCGTTGGCCTCACCTTATGATATGCTGTTGAAACCATGTTGGCACAACTTCAGCTCAAAGAGTGTTTGCGGGAAAAGTTGCGAGCCGAGTTTCGCTGTGACTTTTTGGAGCAGCGCGTTGAACATCTATCACAGCTGGCTGATACCGCATCATGAATCACCAAGCCCATTTTTGTTGTCCCCATGTCCCGTTGTTCAATTGAACTTGATTGCCTCACCAGGACTGGTCTATCAAACGGCTGTGGCCTCGCCACTGACAATACATTGCAATCGAGCTCGATTTCGAAAGAAAGTTTAAAGACACCGGTCGATCATGCGGTTGGGATGGCTCAATCGGATGGGGTCAGGGCAACACATTTTGAGACACCTATGGCTCTGAGTGACCGTTGTGCTTCCGAACCAGCCCTGCCGCAACAGTCTCACCCGCAACGCGAAAGCAAATGCGTGCCAGCCGAGGCAAGACATCGTTGGTTTCGACGCAAATCGAGCGGTCAAGCTCAAAATCGGCGACGGCCATGGTGTGTGAGCCGACCATGCGCGGCTTTTTAATTGTGTTGCCGCTCTTGTCCAGCTACAACCATCGACTACAGTGAGCTTATCACATTACCACCAGCATCAGAGTATCATTCGAATAGAGCGCACCTTTGAGACAAGGTTGCGTAGAACGATGCCGCAAGAGCTCTCATTCCAATGAGCCTCGAGTCGACTTCCATTCAAGAGAGGGGTTGGTAGGTCAAACGTCAGCAGCTGACACCTGATGTGTGCACAAGCACAAGAGGTGTGTATGAGACGGTCCGAGTCGTGCACCCGCGCAGGCGAACAGTAAGAGGACAGGGGTTCAGATTTCATATGTCAGTCGGCATACACTCACCGGACGCGCGTCGCCTCGGGCGCTGGCTCGTCCGGATGACAGCCCACCTCACCAAATCTGAGCGACACGCAAGAAAATAGCCTCATGAGTGGGAAAGGTGTGCAAAGTCAACAGGGCAATGGCTACATGCAAGCCACCACATGATGAACAGCGGGGGAATTGAATCCAGCGATGAGCCATCCATTTCTCTTCTGTCGAGCAAAGGAGTCTGGAAATACATACAGCTCAAGGCCATCACTATTGTTGAGCTTGATGCGGACGTCGTCGCCGGCAGTGGCACAATCCACGGGCTCTTCCGCAACAGTCAAGCCTAGGCGTCACGTCAGAAAAAGCAACAATCAATTTAAAAAGATACCTCGAATGCACAATCGCCTTTCAGCTGCAATTTTGTGAGTGTCAAGCTGAGCAAGTTGAAGGTGCCGCAGCATACCTTGTACTACGCTGACAGTGCTTCCTGGACGCCACCAAAGAGGATCACCCGTTTGGACGCTGCCCGACGCGATGAAGCCTTCTGCATAATGTGAACCTTGTAGCTGCGACATCCACAAAAAACAAGGGCTACATGTGAGCACATCAGAACTTGAACTACGCCTTTATGTTCACACAGTCAACGCCGGTCTGGCGAAAGAACACGTTGGCTGGCAGGCTGGCACAGGCGCAAAGCAGGTACCTTGACAAAGTCTGACACGATGACACGAAGAGGTGCTTTCACCAGATGCTCATATGCATGTCCCTTGAAGCCATCTAGCCGACGAGACCGGGGTGTGGGGTCAGCCCGTTTGACAAGAGCAACTTTGAGGGAGAATGCCAGCTATGTGCAGTTGCACAGCTTCGTGCACCAAGCAAGTTTATCACACCAATGGCAGAGACGACGGTACTGGTATCCGACCACATGGCCGTATGGTCGCTAGCATCACGCAAGTTGTCTCCGGTCATGCCACTGCAAGGTACAAACTTGGTGTTCTGTAGTTGAATGTGATGTATGTGATTGAAAGAGAATCAAAAGAATCGAGCGCCAAGATGAGTGTGTAAGCCACAGCTTGAAATCTGCCTTGCTAGCTCAAGCTAGCTCGTCATTGAGTCATGATATCAGGCTGACCTGAGGCTGAAAGCCAAGTTTGGTGCAAAAGGCGGACATGGTGGCTTGGATCTCCTGAAAGCGGCTACGGTCCCATTGAATCTAGCAAAGTCAAGGTATTGCCGTTCAGCTTGAAAGGTAAGCTCGGTGTCGTCAATGGCAATGATGTGCGATCGGCCAGAGGGGGAATCAAGGGACAGCGTCGAAGCGCACCATGTCCATTTTGTTCACGGCGACCACGAGTTCATTGATTCCAAGGGCGCGGAGGAGCAGCAGATGCTCACGGGTTTGGCCACGCTGGAAACCAGCTTCAAAGCTGTTTGGCGTGGCGTCCACGACCACAATTGCAGCATCGGCCTAAGTGCCGTCGAAAATGGGTGTGAGCAAAACGGAAAGAAGGACCTGACACTCTCCCCGGGCCCTCAGCGCCTCGAGTGTTAGGCATTGGCATGCGAGGGGCGCAAACGAGTTGACAATAATTCCAATGGCTTTGCAAGACTGCAAGGGGAAAAAAGAATGAGTACAG